GGAGGCTCCGGGCCGCGTACACCAACACGCAGCTGCTGGAGCTGGAGAAGGAATTTCACTTCAACAAATACCTCTGCAGGCCCCGGCGGGTGGAAATCGCGGCTCTGCTCGATCTCACCGAGCGGCAAGTCAAGGTCTGGTTCCAGAACCGCCGGATGAAGCACAAGAGGCAAACCCAGTACAAAGAATCCCCCGACGGGGACCTCGCCTACCCCAACCTGGACGAGGGCAGCGATCCCGCGGAGGAGGCTGAGGAGAGCCCGTCTTTCGGGCCAGCTCCGGAGCCCAGAGGGCCCTACCAAAGCAACAAACCGGGGAACGAAGAGCCCGAGAGCCCCCGGTTCGCGGTGGCCGGGGCGGAGCGGGAGGCTGCGGGGGAGCCCGGCACCGCCGCCGGCCCCTCGGACCCTGCCTACCCCGAGAGCCAGGACTCGCCTTTGTTGCCAGAGCTGAGCATCTTCTCTGCAGAGTCCTGCCTTCAGCTCTCGGAGGGGCTTTCCCCTATTCTCCAGGGCTCCCTGGAGAGCCCCGTCCACTTTTCCGAGGAAGATCTGGACTTTTTTACAAGCGCACTTTGTACTATAGATTTACAACATCTAAATTTCCAATAGCGGCCCCGGTCCCGCCCGCCTCGCCATTCCTGCCCCTTCCAGGAGCAGCAACCCCATCCCGAGCCACTGCCAGCTCCCCCCAGTCTCATGTAAGAAGGAGGGGGGACACCCCAAAAATAATCCCCAGCCATTTCTCATTCAATCACCTTATCTCGCCCCTCAAACACTTTCTATTAAAGCTCCTCACCCGAATCACCCTCCCAATATTTATTCTAGGAGGCTCACATGAAAGAAGAGCCACAGTTTTGCTAAACGCAGGTATTTAATTATAGATTATTTTTTTTCCTTATTTATTTTCAAGAAAGCACCCGGTAGTTCTCATGCACATCAAAGATATCATCGCCCAAGAGAAAACATTTGTAAATCCTTCAAGCGACTTTCTCAGGAATCAGAACCAGACTTTTAGATTTCTTAATATAATAAAATAAACTTAAAAACCAGAGGAATTTTCCTTCCTCTTTTTAAGTTTTAGATGTAGACTATTTATTCAAATCTTTTATTAGTAAATGGCAAATTATTTATTGTACATTATTTTCATAGAGTAAATAAATGTCTTTATAAAACCAAGAAGCGTGTGTTGCTACGTATGTCGTTTAAAAAATGTGCTCTTTTTTCCTAAATAATTTGCCTTCCTTTTTCCTGCTTTGCAGTAATTATGTCCTAATAATCTCCTCGTGTGCATAGAGAGGAGACAAAAGCAATTGCTCTCAACTAACATTTCAAGATGTTTCGGGGTCAGAAATAGTCTCTGTTCAGATCTGTTTGCATTTTCCTTGAGCTTGTTTTTTATTTCAGTTGTTACTAAACCAAAGCAGGCCGTTCGTTTCTAATTTTAAACATTAGCGGCTAGATTTTTGTCACCGAAAATCCCTCTTGGAAGGAAAGGGCCAGATAAACGGATGGAAAGCAACACAAAGGCAAAGCTCGAAGAGGCGCTGGGGCCGCCCCGGGGGCCGCGGCCGCTCCGCGCAGCCCCCGCACATTCCGCGGCCCGTGCTGGGGATCCCCGCGGCGAACCCCCGGTCCAGCCCGGTCTGACAAGGCGAGGGCTGCTCCTTTGCCTTCAGCCCACTCCCCTTTCCCTCATCTCTTGCAGCAGAAAACACAGCCGTGCCACGTCGCTATTCTCGGTCTTTTAAACCTCCCGGATTACAAAATAAAAAAGCAGAAAGGGAGAATTTGGAGTAAAGCGTAAAAAATCCACCCTGGAGGGGGGTGCGTGGCGGCGTTTTACTCCGTAAATAAATGCTAGAGAGGAAAGGGGGGTAAGCGA